TGTTTATGGGGCCAGCAGGTGGTGTGGTGGTTAAGGCACTGGATTCCCACGTGGTCGACTGTGGTTCCAGTCCTGGACCTAGCAGCTTGAAAATCATGCTGGACTTGTGTGCGTGCGTGCCCAAAATCCCAGGAGGAGAATGGAGGAGAAGGGACTGCGGCATGACCTTCTCCCCTGGGGAGTATTTTCTCACTTTCCCTCTCTTTGCCTCTCTCTGGTGAGTGCAAATGCCTTATAGGAAAAACCTTAAAAAAAAAAAAAAAAAAAGAAAGAAAATAATATATGTAGAGAGAGGTGTTAGGATAAAAAGCCTCATCTTTCAAAACAAGCAGTCATTTTATCATGTCTACCAAAAAATAGTAGCATAAGCATATGATTTGGAAATATCAGAAGAAACATCTAAAATTGCTACAAGAGTTATCTCTGAGAACTGAGAGTGGAGGTTGGAGCACTTGAACAGAGCGGAATAGGAGACCTCTTATTTTTAATTATAAGCCTTGAATTATTTTTAAACTATATTACTTTTAAATGTATTACTTTGATAAAGATAAGGATTAATTTTAAAACCCAAAAGGTATGTGTCAGCCCTATAGCACATAGTTAGATCCAGCATAGCAAGCTGGATCCCACATGGCCAGCTGCAGTTTGAGTCCAGGCCTGGCAGTTTGAATAACATACTGGGTGTTTGTGTGTGTGTGCATGTGCAGGGTCCTGGTGGGATGGAGAAGGGGAGGAAAACACTGTGATGTAGCCATGTCCCATTGGGGAGTGCTTGCTTTCTCTCTCTTCCTAGTGAACACACACATCCTGCAGCAATAAAAAATTAAAAAAGATATGTGTGGATATAAACACACACACACACACACACACACCTGTTTTGTTGTTTTTTTTTTTTAAAGATGTTTGCCATAGGTTATGTGTGCTTGCTGGAGAAAAGAGAGAAAAAGGGCAAACCCCCCCCCCCCCCCGAGGAGATGGCCACACTAATCCCTTCTCCATTCTCCTCCTGGGATTTTGGGCACACGTGCACATGGGCCTGGTGTGATTTTCAAGCTACCAGGTCAGGGACTCGAATTCTATCAGCCATGTGGGAATCCAGCACATTAACCACTACACCACCTACTGACCCTCACATATCTGGCAATTTTGACATGAAAGATACTGTCATGTTTTACAAATGTAATGGTATTCCTAATAGGGTAATCAGACATTTGCAGTGAATTAAAGAGTTGCTGCTCCGTTCTCCACTCTTTTTTCCTTTCATTTGAAGTGAGTTTCCCAGAATGTATTCATTTGGAGCAAGAAGAAAGGAGTAGCTAGAATCTTATGAAATTAGAGGTTATTTGAAACACAATGTTTGTTGTAGAAGAAGATTTAGAGGCAGGGGAGACCTCACAAGGGAATTAAGGAACTTAAGGAATGAAGGCCAGCCCGTGGCTTGGTGGTTGAAGTGGCTCTATTCCACATGGCCAACTGTGCAGTTCAAATTCTAGACCCAGCAGCTTGAGAAACACGCTAGGAGTGTGTATATCATGCTTATAATTGTGAAAAGAGAAATGGAGAGAAGGGATTGTGGCATAACCATTCCTTGTGGAGAATGCTTTCTAGCTTCTCTCTGTCTCTGTCTCTCTACACATGCACCCTCTGGCAAAAAAAAAAGAAAAAAAAAAACGAAAAGGAATGGGGAGATGGCTACTGAGCTTGGGCTGTGAAATATTACTTTCAGGGACTAAAAATGAAGATCTTCTGCTGAGACTTCTCCCTCCAGATTCATTTCTAGTGGATAAGGCTAACTCTGTATCCTTCTCTCTGTCTTTCTGTCTCTCCCTGTCTCCCCATATATTTTAATTTAATTAAAAAAAATTTTTTTAAGGTAAAGTATTCTCTGGGCTCTCAAGCCCCTCCTTTATGGTGATAATTTGTGTCTTTCCCCCTCTCATTTAGGAAAGGCACATTCTGAGATGGCTACTGAACTTGAGCTGTGAAATATGGATTTTGTGCAGTACGCTTGTGTGCTGCACGGTTTTCACTTTTTGCTTTTAAAAATTAAAATATAAGATTTTTTATTGTCTTTTTTTTCTTTCTTCTTTTTTCTTCTTCTTTCCTCTTCTCTAATTCTTTTCCTTTTTCCTTTAACTTCATTCCATGGCTGCTCAGCCTCCATGCACTGAGTGTCTAGACAGGTCCAAGTGAACAGACTCCAAACATTGGAATACGATTAGGTTCAGGATATTCCTCAATTCTCACTGAATCTGATGCACAATAGTAAAAAACAAAACAGAAGAGAGATTGCAGATCAACTCCTGCATGGTTCCAAATGCTCAAATTGAACTTCAAGAATTAGGAAGAAATGCACAATCCATCAGATGACCAGAAATCATCTCAGGGTCAAAAGAAATATAAGAAAAAAAGAAAGAAAATACATCTCCTCTAAGGGAAAAGAACAACTCCTCTTCATCCTCTGACAGTACAATAGAACTCATGGAAATGGCAGATAAAAATTTTAGAATATTCATAGTGAAAAAGCTAACAGAGATGGATGGCAATACTAACAGAGATGGAAGAGAAGAGAGATGATGAACACCAGAAGAAAGAATCTGATGAGTTCCAGGAGGTGAGGAAGTTCTTGAGAGAGCTGAAAGAGGAAATACACATCATAAAAAGAATCAAATGGAACTGTAAGAGATGAAGGCTATAATATAGAAAGTCAAAACCTCCCCTGAAAGTATTAAAAGCAGACTAGATCATATAGAAAAGTGAATCTCAGATGTAGAAGACAGAATCTCTGGCCTAGAAAAATCCTCCACAAAGACTGAGAAAATTGCTCCCCCAAAATAAGAATAATATATGAGAAATACTAGATATCATCAAATGTCCAAACATCTGGATAATTGATATCCCAGAAAGCAAAGAGACTAATAAGGGCATTGATAATCATCTATTCCATGAAATCCTGCAAGAAAACTTTCCAAACCTAGAGAGGCACTCAAAGATCCAGTCCCAAGAATACAAAGGACCTTAAATAGAATCAACCCAAGAAGATCTTCTCCAAGACACATTATAGACAGAATGACCAAAACCACAGACAAAGACAAGATACTAAGATTGGCAAGAGAGAATTGGCAAGTTACCTACAAAGGATATCCTATCAGGCTCACAGTGGACCTCTCTTTGGAAACAATACAAGCAAGGAAAGGGTGAGAAAATATATTCAAAGTGTTAAGGGAAAAGCAATTTCAACCAAGAGTACTGTACCTGGCAAGATTATCCTTCATATGGGAAGAAAAGACAAAAGCATTCTCAGATAAACAAAATCTGAATGACTTTACAAACACCAGACCAGCTCTCCAAGAAGTTCTCAAGGGAGTGCTATACCAGGAGAACTAAATACAGACACACTAAATAAAAGTTCAAAGACAACTAAGAAAATGGCCAACTTAATGGTAGAGACAAGTCTGGAGTTGAATTTTATATCACAGAATTTAATTGGGAAGATTGGACCACCACCGAAGATAAAGTACATGAGACTGAACTGTTGAAATAGAATGTTATGACTTTTAACTAAAACATTGCTGATTTTCTTCTAAGCTTTGTTTTACAGATTTAAGGATTTTTGTCTTATCTTGAGCTGCTGATAGGTTCATGTACCTACTATTTGAACAGAATCCTAACCTGTTTCCTGGCTTTACGTTTTAAGCAAAGCTCTCTTAGTATTTCTTTTATTTTGATTTATTAAAGCTAAAACTGCTTTTCTTGAAATTAAAACATATATTAAATACCTATTTACTGACCACAGTAAGCTATATAGCATCAGCTAGATGCTACTTTATGGTATATTCATTGTACTCAGTTTCACCCCTCAGAAATGTATCTATCAGCTGACCTTACTATTAAAAGTAGTTAGATTATTTAAGATATTTATATATATATGAAACTAGAAATGGAAAATTATTAATGATAACATATATGATTAAGCCACTATGCAGTATATTCTGGATGGGAATTCACATTTCGTATACTGTGACGATGCTCAGTGAATGAATGTAAATTTAATTAATTAATTAAGAATAAAAATAAAAATAACAAATAAAGGTGTGGGAGAGAGAAAAGGAATTGAAGATAGATGACTTCATCAGAATGAATAGAAAAGGGAACCTCCCAAACCACATTTACATAACTTGTCATAAGTAAGTTTCTAGACATATTAGTAGTCTGTTTTCAAAGCACAGAGGCTTATTCAGTTGTAATAGTGAAATCTGGAATGAAAAATCCTGTGTCTTATACCCAGCAGGCACCTGGCATTGGATTCTGTTCTGTCATGGCTTCTTTTTTTTTTTTTTTTTTTTTTGGACCTTTTTTTTATTTAAAGACGGT